GCTGATGGACGGGGCTTCCTGGGAGGAAAATACACGCGTGTGTGAGCTGCACGGAGCCCTAGCGAGGCACAGACGCCCCTGTGGAGCTGACGGTGCACGCTGGCCAAGAGACCGGGCGCTGGGGGCCTCAGCCTGGCCTCGGCCAGCTGTGGGGCATGGGCTGCAAGGCCCAGGGCTCTGGCTTTCGTGCCGGGGCAGGGGCAGTTTCGTTAACCAGACGAAGCCGGCTGCCCGCGGCGGGCCAGGCTGGGAGCCAGGCGCTGAGTGATCTCCCGGCAGATCTGGGAACGGGGTCCCTGAGCCTTAGGCTTCTTGGGCTGTGCCAGTGGCAGGGTCAGCGCCGGGGCGGGGGAGGGGCCCCACCCGGTGGGGGTGCAGACGCCGCTTGCGTGACAACGGGCCGGCGTCTCCTCCTGTTTGCTGTCCCCCGCGTGTCTGGGCCATCCCGGCCGGCGTGTCAGGCGGGAGGCCAGGGAGGCTTGTTCCTCACCTGAGCTCCACCTGTGCCCCCCGACTCCACTTGTGCTCCGGCAGGTGACCTGGCCGGGCCCCTGCGCCAACACCCCCTGTGGCCATGCGCCCTGCAGAGCTCACAGGGAGGAGGCGGGTACCCTGCAGAGCCCCACCCCCGCCGGGCCACCTGGATCTGGGCGACTTCCAGGGCTCCAGGGTCAGGGGTGAGGTGGAAGGTGTAGTAGGCAGGATGTCATGGGCTCTGGGGGGTGGGGGCACCGGCCCAGACAGGCCCCCCCAGCAGCCCTGGGCGCCCTCTGCCTCCCCGTGGACGCCTGTCCCTGCCGCTGGGCACCTCGGGGTCTGGCTTCCCGCCAGCCCTTTGCTGTGGGCGCCGCAGCCGCCGCCCGGGGGGTGGGAGCGGAGGTGCCGGGCGGGTTTCTGTTTGTCCAAATGCATCGTGCTGGTACCAGCCGTGAAGGCACACGTGTCCCCACTGGCAGCGAGACCCCAAATACGACAGAACTGCAAACACTGGGCGAGGAAGGCGCGGCTGGCCCTGGTCACGCTGTGCCCTGCGCGGCCGTGGCCACTGCTCTGCCAGCACCTGTGGTGGAGTGTAGACCTGGCGGGGGTGTGACTGTCGCCCGTTCCACAGGGCGGCGAACTGAGGCCTGAGACCTGAACTACCCTCCCCCGGCATAGTGTAGGTGGCAGAGTCAGGGCGACTCAGGCTTCCGGTCCCAGGCGTGCCGCTGCCTGATCGCAGGTGTGCAAGCTCCCTGGTCCCAGGCGTGTTCCCTCCCGGATCCCAGGCGTGCTCCCTCCCCGGTCCCAGGTGTGTTCCCTCCCGGATCCCAACTATACTACCTCCCCATCCCAGGCGTGCTCCCTCCCGGATCCCAGGCATGCCCTCTGCCTGATTGCAGTGTGCAAGCTCCCCGGTCCCAGGTGTGCTCCCTCCCCGGTCCCAGGTGTGTTCCCTCCCGGATCCCAACTGTACTCCCTCCCCATCCCAGGCGTGCTCCCTCCCCATCCCAGGCGTGCTCCCTCCCCATCCCAGGCGTGCTCCCTCCCC